AGTTCTGATGCAACTCTTCCTTGGTGGAAGAGTTCTAGTTGATTTCAACTTCTAACTCCTTCCCTATCTTGAATAGTGTTCTCTTTGATTAAGGACTCCTTCTCCTTATCAATTATGCAACCTTTTCGATCAGGAGATATTAAATACACCAAGTTAAACTTATCTCCTTCACGTGCATCCCACATGCTTGAATCTGCCCGTTTTTGTGAACCTGAGGGATGGACCACTGGATGGACCTGGTTCATGTCTGAGTTCCTTTGTCAGTCTTCAAAACTAACCTTTACTTGGGCCAACATTTGTTAAAAGAGGTAATGCGTTAATGAAAAAGGTAATTAAGGTTTGGCTTGTCTAGCTCCCACTAGTAGGTGCCATCACGACTCCCGAGGGTGGGAATTCCGGGTCGTGACATATTTCTTTCTTTTGTCCGTTCGAGGACGAACGGTTGTTTTAGAGGTGGAGAATGTGACGACCCAAAGGGTCATCACCTGTTTTTTCACTCATTCTGTGTCTCCGAGGCCTTGAAAAACTCATTTAGGCTTGCCTCGATTTCCGTGCGCAGTCCGAGCGCGTAGCAGGAAAGCTTAAATATAAATTCTGTGTAAAAATTGATGAATTTTGATATTACTATGAATAAAGTTGACTTTGGTCAATATTTTGGGTAAACGGACCCGGACCCATGATTGGACGGTCCTGGAGGGTCCGTAGAAAAATATGAGACTCGGGCATATGCCCGGAGTAGAATTCCGAGGTCGAGAGCCCGAGAAATGAATTTTTCTGTGAAATTATTTTTCAGAAATTAATATGGAAATTTGAAAAGGAAATTAATTAGAACGTGTTGGTATCGGGCCCGTATTTTGGTTCCGGCGTCCGGTACAGGTCTTATATGTGGTTTAAGCGCTTTCTGTGAAATTTGGTTGAAATCAGACGTCATTTGACGTGTTTCGGACCTAAATATCTAAAAATGAAAGTTTATGAAGTCTGATGAAAAAGTGATGATTTTGAGGTTTAATTCATTGATTTTGATGTTATTTTGGCGATTTGATCGCACGGTTAAGTTCGTAGGATGTTTTTGAGTTAGTGTGTGTGATTGGTTAGGAGCCCCGAGGGCTCGATAGTGTTTTCGGAGGTGTTCGGGGTAGTTTTGGACTTAGGATGATAGCAGATTTTCTGCAATTTTTGCACAGGCATTCCCTTCTTCGCGTTCGCGTCACAACTCTCGCGATCGCGTAAGCCAATTTCAGGACCCCCAGAAATTCCTTCTTCACGTTCGCATTCCACAGTTCGCGAACGCGTAACTTCACCAATTTACTCATCGCGTTCGTGTGGCTCTTCACGTGTTCGCGTATAACAATTTCTGGACCCCCCGGTCTTTCTCTTCGCGTTCGCATCATCCTCATCGCGAACGCGATGGTCTGTTGTGTCAACCTTTCGCGAACGCGGCCTTCCTCCCGCGAACGCAAAGGGCATTTTTGCCCAGTTATTTTAAAAGCCTAAAAACAGCACAGTGACGGGATTATTCCAAATTTCACACGAGCTCTTCTTCTCCATAGCCCCTAGGCGACTTGTAGAGCGATTCTTCACCAAATATTCTTGGGTAAGTATTATCTAACTCGTTTTCTTCATTTTCTATCATCATCCATTGAAATCCTAGTCCTAAAACATGTAATCTAGGGTTGAAATTGGGGGAAATGGGTAGAGTTAGGGCTTTTCGATTTTCTTCGATTTAGACCTCGTTTTGGGGTCGAATTTGAAAAAAAAATTGTATATTCGGGCTCGTGGGGGAATGGGTGATATGGAATTGGTTCGAACCTCGGGTTTTGACCAAGCGGGCCCGGGGTCGATTTTTTTGGAATTTTGGGAAGAAGGCTTAGAAAACTATATTTAGGCATTGGGTTTGATTTGTTTGGCTTATATTAATGTTGTAAAGTCGTTATTTCATAGATTTGATTGAGTTGGAGCCGAATTCGAGAGGGAAAGCAGTCGTTGTGGATTGATTTAGCCGTGGAAGTTGAGGTAAGTGTTTGGTCTAACTTTGGCTTGAGGGAATAGGAGTAGAATCTTACTTGCTAATTGCTATTTGTCGAGTACGGTGTATAGGCATGGTGACAAGTATCTATACACTGGTGTCTAGCATGACCGTGTGTTCTTATATTGAGATTATCCTGAACTTGTTGAGATTCTCCCATGCTTATTTGATGATTTCTATATACTGTAAAGAGCATGAGACAGAGATTATGATTATTAGACTCCGTGGAGCATTGGCTTGAGTTGTGTTGCGAATTGTGAAGGTATATGATATGAAATGATTCTTTGGAGCTATGGCTCAAATGATAAAGTGAGTTATAGAGTAAGAAATGAAAGCACAAGAAAGAGATATTGGTTAATCCCTTGCCGGGAAGTTTTATTGATATGATGATTTGCTCCCTTGCCGGGATATTGAGTTATTGACTTTTCTCCCTTGCCGGGATTTAGTGTGTTCCCTTGCCGGGATTTCTTTCACTAATTGTTTACTCCCTTGCCCCTTATTTTCGACTGTTGCCTGGGTGAGGATTAATTATATAAATATATGGATCAGGTTGCGCGCCGCAACAATGATAAATGATATATATGTGGATGGGTTGCACGCCACAACAATACTAAATGATATGGATCGGGTTGCACGCCGCAACAGTGATGATTATGGATCGGGTTGCACGCCGCAACAGTGATGATATGGATGGGTTGCACGCCGCAACAGTGATGATTATGGATCGGGTTGCACGCCGCAACAGTGATGATTATAGATCGGGTTGCACGCCGCAACAGTGATGATTGAGGATCGGGTTGCGCGCCATAACAAGTTATATCTTAAGTGTGTTTATTCCGGATTTAAGTTTCTGTTGGCTGTTATAACCTTAGAATTTAGACTCCTTGTTTATAACTGTTGCCTCCCCACAGCATGCTCCCCCTCCCTTATAAACTGCTTATTTCCTGTTTATTTTTCTGCAATATATTTCGTAACTGCACAGGTTTATCTGGTAGTATGGTCTAGCCTCGTCACTACCTCGTCGAGGTTAGGCTAGGCACTTACCAGCACATGGGGTCGATTGTGCTGATGCTACACTCTGTGCATCTTTTTGCACAGATCACAGAGCCGGAGCAGCAGCTTTTGGACAGCAGTAGAGGATTCGGGAGTTGACTTCAGTCCAGGGACATTCGAGGTAGCCTTGCTGACGTCCGCAGGCCCGGAGTCCCTCTCTATTTTATTCAGTTTGTTATCATTTGTACCGAAGCAGACAGTTTTATGTTTCATTTGAACCTTGTATTTAGTATTCTCTAGACGTTCGTGAGTATTGTGACACCAGTCTTGGGTAGAGGATTTTGTTAAACTTCCGCATTTCTTTCAGTTAAATATATTTGAGACTTCCGCATTTCTTTCAGTTAAATATATTTGAGACTTCCGCTTTATTATTAAATGCTTCATTGTTTCTAATATTGACGATGTTCGCTAAAAGAGGTAATTGATAATTGGCTTGCCTAGCTCCGACTAGTATGCACCATCACGACTCCCGAGGGTGAGAAATCCGGGTCGTGACAGATAGTTTCTTCTTCTGGGACCCTGCAACAACAACATCTAGAGGTAATGTTAGCATTAAATCTTTGAACAATGCTGTCAAGTGGAAGCCTGCCTTTCATGATTCTCCATGATGTGAAAGAGATCTTAAAAGGTAGGTGTTTGTCCCAAATTTTATCTAAATAAGGAGATATATTTTTCCTTTTTCTTAGAAGATGGAAAGTAGAAGAATAGGTGAATACTCCCTGGGGGTTCGGGGTCCACATAGTCTGGTCCTGGATATATCCTGGCCAATCTTGATTTGTTCGATTTCATCAACTACTCTCTGAGGGACTGTCTGGTGGAGAAGATCCATATTCCATCTATGGTCGATGAAGAAGTCCTTGATGTTGATATTCCCTGGCTTGACATTGGGGTTGGCTATCGAGTAAATGTTACCAGAGGAAAGCCATCTATCCCACCAGAACAAATTGTTTCCCTTGTTGATTTTCCAAAGGATGTATTCTTCTACTTTGTTTCTGGAATCCATGAGGTTTCTCCATGAGTTAGAGTCTTTAAGATCAATCTTTTTTGAAATGGGATTGGATCTTGGATAGTATTTGGCCCGGAGAAAGTTTGTCCATAGATTATTTTCCGTCCTGAACCTCCACCACCTTTTAGCTGCAAATGAGTTGCAAATGTCTTGAAGATTTTTTAAACCAACACCACCTTCATTAGTGGGGAAGCTCATATTGTCCCAGGAGCACCAATGATAGCTATTTTTGCCTTCTTTTTCACCCAAAAGAAATTGGCCAGGTACATTTCAATTTGCTTGATAATGGATTTTGGAGGGACCATGGCTGCTAGCAAGTATAAGGTTTGGGACTGGAGGATGTGCTTGATGATGATAGCTTTTCCACCGAATGATAATAGTTTTCCTTGCCAGTTGCCGGCCTTTTTTGGACTTTTGTGGCAAGATCTGAGAAGTAACATATCTTCTTCCTGCCTATGTAAATAGGACAACCGAGATATGTAAATGGAAATTGCTCATGCTTGAATCATGTCCATTTCTTGCTCCTTAGACTTGATCACCAGTAACTGGTCAAAAACGAATGTTAAGCAGAAATTATATATATTTGAAAGATGTGCTTGATCCTGTCCACTGATTGGTAGATCTTTCTACGGAAAAGGCCTAAAAATGCCACTCAACTTTCAGAAATGGTCTATCCATGCCATCCGTTAAAAAATTGCTATTTCCACGCCACTGTCGTTACAGAATGGCTCATCTATGCCATTATTTGACTAACGGCTGAAATTTTTTTTAAAAAAAATATTTATAAGACTTGAATTTCCACGTGTCCTATCATTACTGGTCCGAATTAACCCACGCCCCACTTAATTCTAACCTTGATTAGGTCCATCTAATTTTAACCTTACCCAAATAATTAACCCAACAACCCTTCCAAATCCTTCTCCAGTCGTCTTCCCCAATGAGAAAGCATTTGCCAGATCTTTTTGAAGAGCAACCTGATTTGCTTCACGAACTTGTAAGTACTCCAAACTAAATCTTGATCAAGCATTAGTCATCCTAGTTCCATAATACTCCACTTGCTAAGTCGAGCAGTGATGAGCTATGCAAGTTGCTCCTCTAGTTACAATGAGCTACGCAAGTCCCTTTTCCTTTTCATAAACCTCACATAAATGCCAAGTTTACTCATCAACTTACAGATGTGAATATCGTAACAGAAATGTTTGCTTTTCACTTGTGGAACATCTGAAATTCTATTCTTTCGCTTTTAATAAATTGTACAAATTGCCATCTAGATTCTTTTCTCTTGTTAATTCAGCTTCCCCTCAGCCCTCTAATCTTTTTCCAGTCCATTGACGCATTTGTTGGTAGTTTGAGTTTTGAATAAGTTGGGCTGACCCTCATATCAAATTCATCATTGATTTTTTCAGGTAACTCAGTTGTCTCCTTCAGTTTTGAAGTCAGAGGTTGTACCAGTGTACCGTGCTGTTCAGAACCCAGGGGAGTTTGTGCTCACATTCCCAAGAGCCTATCATTCTGGATTTAACTGTGGGTTCAACTGCGCAGAGGCCGTTAATCTGGCCCCTGTTGATTGGTTGGAGCATGGACTAACTGCAGTGGAGCTCTACAGCAAGCAACGTCGTAAAACTTCACTTTCTCATTTAATGGAGGTTTTAGGGATTTTCTCATTGGGGAAGACGATTGGAGAGGGATTTGGAAGGGTTGGGTTGGGTTAATTATTTGGGTAAGGTTAAAATTAGATGGACCTAACCAAGGTTAAAATAAAGTGGGGCATGGGTTATTTCGGATCAATGACAACAGGACACGTGGAAATTCAAGTCTTATAAATAATTTTAAAAAAAATTCCAGCCGTTAGTCAAATAATGGCATATTGTAACGACCCGACCCGTCGTTATGGGAGTTACCGCCCCGTTTTCCCCGTTTTATACTTCTATATGTTTCATTATATGTGTTTGGAGAATTTGAAGTAATTCGGTTAGAGTTCGGTTAGAAATGAGACAATAAGTCTCTTTATGAGAAGGTTAGTTTGGAAAAGTCAACCGAATGTTGACTTATGAGTTAGAAGGCTCGGAATGGATTTCCGATGATTCGACTAGTTTCGAGGGATGATTTGTGACTTAGGAGCGCAATCGGAATTGAATTTGGAGGTCTGGTGTAGAATTAGGCTTGAATTGGCTAAGGTTGGATTTTGGCGAATACCGGATGGTAGGTGAGATTTTGATCCGAGGGTCGAAATGGAATTCCGAGAGTTGCAGTAGCTCCGTTAGGTGATTTTGGATATGCGTGCAAAGTTTCAGATCATTCGGAGGTGTTTAGGACGGGTTTTAGATCAAATGCAAGTTTCGTAAGTTTTAGTTAACTTAGGCTTGAATCCGTGGTAATTCGATGATTTTGATGTTAACGATAGTGTTTTGATGATTGGAACAAGTTTGAATAAGGTCTTGGGGTGTGTTGGTGCTATTGGTTGAGGTCCCGGGGGCCTCGGAGTGATTTCGGGTGGTTAAACGGAGAATCTTGATGTTTGTTGCAGGTCTGGTGCACCTGGCTTCTGGTATTTCCGCATCTGCGGAAAAGGAGCCGCAGAAGCGGTTCCGCAGATGCGGCTAAGAGATCGCATAAGCGGTCCATGAGGGACCGGGGTAATTCCGCAAAAGCGGACGGGGTATCGCTTCAGCGGGTCCGCATAGGCGAAAATGAGGCCGCAGAAGCGGAATGGTGAGATCCGCAGAAGCGGATGGTTGGGCGCAAAAGCGGAAGGCCAAGGATTTAATGAAAAACCGCATAAGCGGTCATATGGCCGCATAAGCGGTCCCGCATAAGCGGTTACGGGACCGCAGAAGCGAAAATTGCTGAAGGGTTTTAATGAATCAGTGTTCGCGAATTTTAGAAGATAAGAAAAACATTTTTACTCCGCCAAGAGAGCTTTTTGAGCAATTTGAAGAGGGTTTTCAACGGGTATTGATTTGAGGGAAGTCTCTTGACTAGAAAACACCATTTTATGGAAGAATCAACACTCAAATTCATGAAAGTGGGTAGAAATTGTGAAGAACTAGGGCTTGGTTTTTGAAAACGAATTTTTAGGATTTGAAAGGCCATTTGAGCTCCGTTTTCGGTAAACTTTATATGTACGGACTCGTGGCGAGACGAGGAATCTGTTGGTGTGATTTTCGGAATTTTTCGAGAAGTGGGCCCGGGGCTCGGGTTTTACCAACTTCGTGAATTTTAGTACTTTTCGAGTATTTTTGATTGGGTTATGTTTCTTTAACCCATATTTATGTATTCGCTGTGATTTTGACTAGATTCGACGCGCGAGGAGGTCGATGCAAAGGGAAAAGGCATTGCGGACCATTCTACGGCCGGTTAGAGGTGAGTAGTTGGTGTATATGATAGCCTGAGGGTTTGAAACCCCGGCTTATCACATTGTGACGCTATTGTAGGGCGTGACTCGCACCCCATGGCAGGTGCGGGATTAGTTATGACTGGGGATTGAGACTTAGTCCATCCCGAACAAGAATATTTCTATATTGGCGACTGATACGCACCCTGTATTGAATATATCTGGGCTTATTGCCGTGTTTGGGGCCTTGTGCCGATCTGTAGCATCCTTAGAGGATGATTGTCATTGTGATAGCATGCTTTGTATAATCATTGATCTCAGTCCTGTGTTTAATCACTGTTATAAAATGCTAAGTCACTTTTCCTGAAGTTAAATATCTAAAGTATATTCTTCTTAATAAATTGGAAATTGGGAAAATTAATTGAATCTGTTACGTGACTCATATGCATATTGTGGACTGAGTATGGATCGGGTTGCACGCCGCAGCGAATGGTATGATTATATTGCGCTTGGGCTGAAGGAGCCCCTCCGGAGTCTGTACACACCCTCAGTGAGCGACGTCGACGTTAAATGGATCGGGCTACGCGCCGTAGCGGTCATGTGCATTGCATTGCATCTTTACATTATACTTGTGATATATTTGGAGTTGTTTTGCTGTGAATTCGTAGTTAGGTGTTGGACTGTTAGTTTTAGCTTTGCTTTGTGGTATTTTGTGGATTTCTTATCTTCAGACATTTTATATGCTTATTACTCACTGAGTTGGTAGTACTCACCCCCTACTCCCTGCACCTTGTGTGCAGATTCAGGTACTTCGGGAGCTTAGTTGAGCTAGCCGCTGGTTTCCAGAGTTCCAGGAGTGGTCGAGGTAGCTGCTATGACGTCCGCAGGACCCGACTCCTCCCTTATCCCTTTATTATTTCCGTACTTTAGAACATACTTATTTTGAGGATTTTTGACTCCGTATTAGTTAGAGGCTCTACACTCATGACCCCAGGTCTTTGGGAGTTAAAGTTATGTCAGTATTTCGTATTGTTTTAATTGAGTATTTCAACCATGAGTATTAATATTTGATTTTAAGTATCTGATTAATTGGTTTTGAGCTTTGTGCTCGGGTTGAGAGAGTAAATGGTCGGGCTTGCCTAGCACTAGTGTTGGGCGCCATCACGACCGGGTTTGGGGTCGTGACACATATATGGGTCATTTCTGTAACGGCAGTGGCATATAAATAGCAATTTTTTAACGGATGGCATGGATAGACCATTTCTAAAAGTTGAGTGGCATTTTTAGGCCTTTTCCGATCTTTCTATTTACTACAATGAGTATTATTAGAAAAGAATCTAAGGACTATTAAAGTATGATGTTTGAAGCCGCTTATGCAGCTATAGCTGCTTTTAAATAATCCTGGTTGTAGTTACTTATCTTTGAAGTAAGTGAGTCCTGAAAAACTTCAAAATTCCAATTAAACTAATTAGTTATACATGTCTAAACATTGACAACCTTTAAACTCCAATTACTTTGAATAGAGGTACGTATCTATTTGCTAAGACAATATCTCATAGTACTTTATCTGATTGTAACATTATCATTTTTATTCAAAGAAACTTACTTTGATGTAAATACTTTCTTTAATTGTTGTAGTCCCCCTCTTTAATTTTGTTCTAAAGTTCAGAACTTATGCATAATTGTTGTATACTATCTTTGGTAATATAATCTTTTGGGAACAAGAGTAGGGGATCATGATACCATCTACTCAACCAACTCTTCTATTGATAAGCTGCTATAGTCAACTTGGGTTCTACACAAAAACCTACTAATGGCATAGCAGCTGGGCGAGTTTTTAGATCTCTTTTCCTGTAAGATACAATAGATTAATATCTCCCAAGGTGAACTAATTCTTCTCCTGACTTCTACTTTCATGTGAAGCAGGAAATTGTCCCGGGGGGAACTATTGTTAAGCGCCGTGAATTCCAAAACTTAAACATTAGCATTTGATAATGGTTGCTCAAAAGTTATCACATATCTTTTGAGTGCAAAACAATACAAATAATCACGGAAAAATCATAGCAAATCGTAATAATCCATTGGACCAAATGAAAGAAACAAAAATAAGTACTCAGAATTAGGGGGAGAAATATTAAAAGCCTTTATTGATAATATTTGTTTGGTCTGCCTCTCCATGAAGAGGTTCAGAGCCTTACAATGGTGTTTTCTCTTCCCATAAGATGGGTATATTTTTCCCTTCTCTCTCCTATCTATAGTAGTGAAGAAGCAGCCCCTTTTCTAGGGTCCCCTCTCTTGGTATTTATAGTTGTGGGCTTCGTGAGCTGGCAGTAAGTGGCCGTGGCCACGCTGAGGTTCCGTCCCCGTGGGGGAATGAATGGGCCGTGCCCTCGTAGATTCAATCGGACAAGAGTCGAATCCTCTTATAAATAAGTGGCCATACCACTTATTAATTATGGATTAGCTCAAGAGGAGATTAACTCCGTTAATTACCGTGAGGTCAGATTCTGACCCATACAGTTAGTCCATCCGCTTATTGAGGTCGTATTTCGGCCGAGCTCGATGAGCGGATTTCATCGATTGTGATTTGAAAAAACTCGAATAAGGGGGTCGACTTATTGACGGCGGCGGCCTTAGTCGTTTACACGTTGGAGATGGCCGTAGCCTTTCATATATTGGAGGTGGCCGTAGCCTTTCATATAATGGCGATGGCCGTAGCCTTTCATATGCTGGAGAGCCTTTCATACATTAGAGATGGCAGTAGCCTTTCATATATTGGGGGTGGCCGTAGCCTTTCATATGTTGGAGATGGCCGTAGCCTTTCATATATTAGGGGTGGCCGTAGCCTTTCATATTTTAGAGATAGCCGTGGAAAATGAGTATGCGCCGGGTACGTATTTGGTCACGTCCAGAATTTTGAAGGCGTACGGCGCATTCTTTCAGCGTTTGCAGGCCGTTGCGATTATTCTGACGGCGGGATTTGGCGGATGGCTAAGAAGCCGCTTCGCGGAGTTTGTCATAATGACGCTTGCTTCGGCAGCATCGAACCGTTTTACGGTTGGTCGTGCAGTTAATGATGGCTATTGGTTTCGCGAAAGCCATTTATGTTGCCTATAAAGGTGGGTTGAGGCATTCATTTCGCATATCTTCATTGTTCATCTGAGAGAGATTCTGAGGAAACTTTTTCATTTCGCTAATTCATCTTCTCTTTTCTTTCCTTTGATTGTGATAGCATTTGTCTTTACTAGATCAACAATGGCAGGCAGCTCTTCCCACGATGCTCTTCCGATAGATTTTCCGGTAGTTGAAGGGCCATCTCCGGCAATGGGAGGTGCAGAACAGATAGAGTCCGGAGACATTCCGTCGGTTGACGAGGTGGTTCCCCGGCCCGGAGG